GTTAAACGCGTTTCTATTAAGTATTAAAGATAAAGAGGTAACTCTCTATTAACTAGCTTAAGAACGTTTTATTTAATTAATATCTTATTAATAATTAATTTAAAAACGTTTAAAGGTATAATTAATTCGCTATTTTATGGGATTTTATCGTCTATTATACGTAGCACGCTTATATAATGTATATAGGTAAGAATAATAGAATAATTAGGCCCCTAAATATAATAATAACCTTAGCGAATAACTATCTTAAGGAAATAATAGTAGCTATTAATAGTAGTAGTATAATAGCTAGCCTATTTAATATTTAAAGAATTAAGGTAATAGATTACTATTACTATTTTATAATAGTTGTTTACTATTACCTTTAAACGCTTAAGCACGTTTACCTAGATATAAGGGATAGTATAATAGAGGTAATTAATAATAAGGCTTATATTAAGCTTATTATACAGCTAATAGGTATAAAGAAGAAGATTAATATAATTATCTAGAATATTACTAGTAATTAAAGAATAATTACTTAAATTACAGCTATCTTAATAATAAATATTTAAAGAAATACCTCTAAGCGTACTATACCTAACCCTAAAAGTAATAGGCCTTAAATTATTCGAATATTTACTATACGTTATATAATTTACTATACTTAAACTTCTCTTAAAGGGTATTAAGTAATAATTAACGTGAAGCGCTTAAAGTACTATTAAATAATATTAAAGACGCTTAATATATAGCGTTAATAACGCTTCTTATACGTACGTGTTATAAGTATTACTAAGAATTTTTATTAGGTAATACTTTATATAGGTATTTATAAAACGTTTATAATAAATTACGTAAAAACGTTTCCTTTACTAAATTAAATAATAAGTAACTTATAAATACTTCTTATTAGCCTAAAAATTTCGTATTAAAAGATAATACCTTAATTAAATTAAATAATACACTTATAAACTCTTATACTTCTCTCTTTAATTAATGTAATAATTATTATACGTTTATAGTCTCTATTAATAATATTTACTTTTCTTTAAAATTAGCGGTAAAACTATAGAAATATACGAGCTTTAAATTGCCTATTATACGATTATTAGTATTAATTAAGGTAAATACTAGTATAAGCTTTATCTTTTACACTTAAATATATTTATAATTCTAGATTTATTTAAACTTAAATTACTTGAATAATTAGAATAACGTTTATATAAATATTAGTTACTTAAAAACACTAGTTAACTTAGCTTAGCTAGTAATAAGATACCTAAGTGTAAAGATACGTATTAGGGTAATACTAGTTATAGTTTATAGTATTAGAATTAACGCCTATTAGATTAATAAATACGTGTTATTAGATTTAAACTTTATAGGTATAATAATTAACGGGTAACTAGTAATAGACTCTTTTATAAGAGAGGTTATAATTATAGTATTACTTAGGGTAGATATACTTCTTAGTATAAATTACCTAGAATTAAAGAGAATTAATATTATAAATAATAAGGGGTATATATATATATATAATTACTAGAATATTATAATACCTATAATATT